ATCCATAATATAAATCTCTCAATTCCTTTGCTCTAACTGTGAATGGTGTTTCTACTTCTGTTGTTGTTGTTGAATCTTCATGTGGTTCATTTAATTGTGAACTACCTTCCTTTAATACTCTAGCTCTATTATAATTAACACGTGTTGTATTTGAATATTCAACTTTTTTAGGTTGAGCCATCTTTTCTAAATCTTTTTGAATATTTTCTTGTTTGTTTTGTTGATTTGCAACAATTTTCAATCTATCAATTGTTTGTAATAATTTTGTTTGTTTTCTTAATAATTCTTTCATTGCATGTTTTCTTTCAATAGTTCCAGCCTTTGTTGTTGAATTAATATCTTCAGTTTCTTTAATTCTCCATGCTTCTAATTCTTCATACATGATTGCAAAATCTTGAGCTTTTCTTGGATGCATTCTTCTCTTAATTTCTTTTTGTTTTTTTGAGCTTTGTAATTCATCAAATTGTTGAGCTCTATAAATTGTTTCTTGAAATTCTTCTTCTCTCTCCTCACGTATTTTATCAGCTCTCCTCTTTGCAATCCATCTACGAACATTTCTTTGAATTTTTACAGCCATTTCAATTTGTAATTTTCTTAACATTTCATAATCAAAATAATATGTTGAAGCTTTAATAACTCGATCTCCACTGGTATCTATGGTTAATCCTGGTTTTTCCATTTGTGTACCTTGTTCTCGTAATGTTTGTTGAGCTTGACTTGAAAACTTTTTAGTTTGTGTTTCTCTATGATATAATTGTACATTTCTTTGTTTTTGATTTTGTGATTCAGTTTGTGTTGATGCATGATGATATAATAGATTATTAACTGTATTTCTAAATCCACCTAGGAATGGTTTTTGAATATTTTCATTATATACATTGACAATGACTGTCTTGTTGGGAAATTCTTCACCATAGTAAATTTCTAATTGTATTTGATAGGCTGGTTTGGGTGCTGTATTATAATTGGCTGGACGTGGATGTATTACATATTCTCCCTCAGTATTGGTTTCAGAGGTTTTCTTCTCTCGTATTGGACCTTTTTGTTTATAATATTGTTGTTCAAAATTTACTTGTGTTCCAAAGTCATCTTGATTGATATCCGTACTGTTATTATCATCTTCATCTTCATCGTCTGAATAAACTTCCTCCTCAGCCTCATGATGAAATTGTTGTTGTTGTTGAAGAGAAGATGTTGGATATTGTGATGGTTGAGGTTGATTATTTCTTGGATGTTCTTCCTCATTCTTACTATCATCATTGAGATTTGTTCGTGATTCATCATTGTCTTCATCATCTTCATTGAGAGATGCTGCTGCGTGGTGATTTCCGTTCATTTTTAACGTTTGTTTTTTTGGTTTTAAGGGTTGTTGAAATTGTAGTTTATTTGGAGGGAAAATTTACAGCAAACTTCTTTCAGTTGTCTTTTTTAACCAACAATATTAACTTTCTCTGTAATGTGATTTCAATACTTTGCCTGGCATTATAATTATTTTCAACTAGATACCAATTGCTCTAGCATATAGCTTTTCTTCCGACACCAATTTGAGGTTCAAATTCAACTTCAAATTCAAACCTGCAC